GCCGTGTTAATACTAAAACTGCTTGGTGATTTTGTTTTAAAGATTCCATTCACTCATTAACTTTAAACTATATGTGTATGAAAATTAGCATAATTTGGGCAACTGGCAACGCGGTTTTAACGAAAAGCCAAACTATTGGTCGCCATCCAGGAGGACACTGCTCGGTCCTGCGCCCCACCCGTCGGGCAGAGTCAAAAAACACCGGGTGACACACACACACACGCACGTCGCTCGCGCGGCGCGGAGCGGGCGGCGCTGCTCTGGGAGGCGGCGGCACCACACGCGGCACCAACACGGCTGGTTCCGACGGACGCGAGGAGACTGACTGACTCGCGATCAGCGCGAGGAAGGGAAGGGCGGCGTCCTGCGGATGGAGAGAGAGTGGGAGGGAGCGAGCTACCGCGAGGTACGGGCCGGTGTGGTCCTCTGCTCCTCCCTCTCCCTCTCCCTGCTCCTGCTCCCCCTCCTGCTCCTCCGCCAATCAGGAGAAACACGCACCTGCGCGCGCTGTTATCAAAAAGGGGGGGGGGGGATGGGAGCGACAAGGAAGGAGACGAGATGCAGAGAAAGAGATAAGAGCGAGGGAGGAGGGCAGAGCAGGGACGCGAGTACCGGTGAATAGTACCAGCAACTGCGTGGGCGTTGGGCGCATCGACATTTTTAGAAACTCTGCGGATCATTTTATGTAGTTGGCTTCCAGAAAACGATTTTGTTTCTGTTGCGGTACACGTGCAAATTTATTGGGGGAAAAAATGTGCCAAGTAGCGGTACAAAATAAATGTTCAGTTTATTGCCTCTATAAAGTTGCTAAAATGAGTGCCTACTTTGGCAGTTTAAGTGCCATTGTAAAAACACTAAACATTTCGTACCCTTTAAAGATAGGACTTGGCACCTTTGTTTCCCTATCTTGGATCGAGTTTGCCTGTTTACATTTGACAATACCGTGCAGATACAGCAGATTTACCGATGCTGAATAAAACGCGACGCCTAATAGAGACACTTTGACACTAACTTCAGACGCACAGGAAAAGGACGCTGCTCAAAGATATACATAGCAGGATCACTTGCGCGCTCGGAGCGGCGCATATAACGACGTGATACGGAGGGTCCGTCTGCCGGTCGGTCCGGCCGCCCTCTGGACGCGCCTGGCCATGACCAATAGGTCTCAGGACGACCATTAGGGCTCATCCCTCACGGCGCGTCCAACGTGAGTGTCGCTGCCGCTCATTGCCCGCATCCTGCCGCCCAGCCCGCCGTAACGATATTGGCGATAGGCTATTCTCGTACAAAACATGCAACCGTCGCGCATCAGACTCACGGTCAATAGGATGTCTTGAAATCCGAGAAAATTTCTTGGACTTCAAGGATCGGGTTGATAATTTCAAGATTGGCCATCGAAATCCCAGACTCTCTGTCTCTAAACCCGCAGCTCCCAAAGGAAAGCCTTGGGATTTTCGTCTGTCATTCAAGGGTTTTTCTTTGGAGCATCCGGATCGTACTTCAAGGAAAACCCTTGAATACCAGACGAAAATTCCACGGCTTTCCCTTAGAAGCAGCGAGTTTCAAGACAGAGTTTGGGATTCAAGAGCCAATCTTGAAATTATCCACCCTACCTTGTAATCCAAGAATTCTCCTCGGATTTCAAGACATTCTTTTTACCGTGCAGAGGAGGCCAGCAGCAGCAGCGCCGCGCCAGGGCCAAGCGGGGCGCGACGCAGCAGCAACCCCTGCACTTGCAGCATGCACTGGGAGACTTAGTATCGCCGGCGAATTATTCGTCAAGGGTGATTACTCACACGGCAGGTTGAAGGTTCCATAGCTCCGCGGCGTGGCGGGGACTCTTATGGCGCGGTCGCATGACGGGCAAGGAGAGCAGCGCGCAGAGAGCAAAAGAGTCTCAGAGTCGTGCGCCGTTTGTAGCCGGGGCAGCCGGGCCAGGTTCACTTCCAATCCGTCAGGTGTCAGTCCCGACGTGTGTGTGTGTGCCAGTGAGCGTGCGTGCGTCCGCGTCTGTGTGTGAGCGTGTAAGCCGACACCCCCATGACCGTCTCTATTCACTCACCTTAACCGATCGGTTCCACTCCGTTCTCCGCGGAGCATTCACAAGACAAGCTCTCTGACACCCCGGCCTGCCGGCTGGCCTGGACGCGGCCCTCCCCCCGGCCTGGCTCCGTGCTGCAAATGTTATGCGAAACGCGTGCGCATGTGTGTGTGTGTGTTTCTGCGTGCACGTGTGTGCCGACAACACGCGAGACAACCGAGTCAAACTTGTGAACACGATGGGGGCCTGCTGGAACAGCAGCTAAACTGAACACATGGTGAACACCCCCCCCCCATAAATTTAAGTAAAAATAATAAAGTGTCACATTCATTTGTAACGTAAGAGTCAATAAGGGATATTTTTTATTGTTAAAATTTTTCACCTCAGTTGAACTTGAAGTTGTAAAAAGTTAGGTTTTTGCTCGGATTTTAGCTTTCCAGCCGGTGAAATTTTCCTTTTTGATCGCAAGCTTTTATGGAAGTGTCTGAAAGAGCTTATCAACCGCACATAGCTCAAATGGCGGACGTGAGAAAGAACCCTACCCCACCTAAATTCCTCCGATTTTTTTTTGAACGTCTTTCTTGGGACCGGGAAGTAAGTCGTCCACCCCTTACGCCCGCCTGCGCCCCACCGGGCCCCGCCGGGCCCCGCCCCGCCCTGGTCCGTTCAGGAATAGCGTTCAGGGGGCCGATCGTTCGCACTTCCGACAAGGCCGCCATATCGTAGGTCAACTATCGGGCCGCCCTGCCGGCGCTGACGTCACGGGAGAGAGGCTATTTCAAGGCTCTGTGGCGCGAGGAAGCAAAGAGAAGGAAGAGGAAAAGAGGAAGAGGGACGGAGAGATCGAGGGAATGCCGACCGGGGTGGAAGGGCGATCTTCCTTTTAACCCTACAACACCTACTCCGAATCCTACCTACCGACATCTAGCAGTGGAGCCGCCGCCGCCGCCCTCCGCCACAAGCCGGTCGTCCGTCACCGCGCACTGCATCAACGCCATCAACACTCTCACTCTCGTAAACGATGTGCGGGTGCGAAGGGAAACACTCTCTTCTGTGCAGAAACAGCAGAGCTCTCGGTGGGGCCGTAGGGTACAAGGGCGGTGCTCCCCGGCGCGCGTTTGTACCAGGCCTGGTGAGATCCATCTTCCGCCCTTAACACGTTCAGTGCGGCTGTGCGTCTGGCGAGCGAGGCGTGACCACATTGTGGTCACGCCGCACTGAACGTGTTAAACGGGTCATTTTGTAATTTGTTCGTGTAAGAGTGTATGTGGTCTCGGACTTGCAAGAGGCGCAAGGAAGGCAAGGCCTTCTTCTGGAGCACGACGACGACGCCCTCGAAGCTCATTCGTTAAGGTCCCCGTTCCGCAATGCATTTAACAAACACCTTCATTTTAGTTTCGGTCCCCTTTCCGCAAATATCGAAATCTCCTTACTTGAATTTGAAATAAGAATTGTCCCGTACCCACCAGTTGGGGTGCAACGCCCTGAGTCCGTCAGGGGGAGCGGGGCCTGCAGCGGGGCACGGTGGCGCCGGGGCTTGGCCGGGACGTGGAGAGGCTCAGGGGGTTGAGGTGGGGGCTCTGACCTGCTTGGAGTAGTGCCAGTTCGTCCAGAGCCGCGGGGTATGGTCGTCGGCGCGGCTACTCCGTGAAAGCAAGGCCCGGCCAGCCAGCTGAGCGACGATACCCCTCGTCGGTGACAGCCCCCCCCCCTTTCCCCTTTCCCCCACTCACCACAGAACAACACAACTTCATTTCTGTCGTCCCATATCCGAAAATCAACAGAGACGGTAACTCGCACTTCTTTTCTCTCTCATTCCACTAGGCAGTGGCGCTGGTGGCGCCGAGACTGCCAACGACGGTACCGACGACGGTACAGACAATCACCCCCACTCTCTTTCCTGTTTTTGGTTCTGGTCCCGCCCCTGCTGCTGCCCCCGACTCGCGGGGAGAGGGCTGCTGCTGTGCTTCAGCGTTCGGTCTGCCAAAACACAAGGCGGACGGGGCGGGCCCGCCAAAAGAGATGGATGACGGTGTCCATGGGCGCGGACAAGTCGCCGGGCGCGTCTGTATTTGCTAAGGGCTCGCCCCGAGTCTCGGCCGCCGTGGCCCTGGCGGTCCTGTCGAAGGCAGCCCTCTGCGCCATAAATCCTCGTGCATGTGTCCGTGTGTCCGCGCGAGAGTGTCGCCGCGGCGCGCCGCGCCCGCCGCTCGCGTTTCCGGTCCCACCGCTTCGTCAAATTTGCGTTGAGTGGCGTTGTCCGATGGTATGCTACCCAACCAAGAGGTGTAAAGTAAATACTAATTTCTATCAGTGAAACGTTTCCCCTATGTCATGATCTCTTGAGAAATACTGGCTCTTCCATAGTGTTGTTTGCCCTTTCTGCAACGTTGTAAATTTTTCAGCGCAGCTCGAAATTTGCACACTTCCTTCTTGATTCTGGCCTCTGTTTTGAACTTGGGCCGGTGTGGACTAGCAAGGCGGAGCCACTGGTGATGTGCTAAAAGACTCGGCCAGGACGGCGCGCAGAGAGGAGCGCGGTCCGCCCCCAACCCAACCCCGCCCGCGGCCGTTCCCTGAACGGGAGAACTTGTCAAAAGATTTAGGCTCGACCTCTGACACGTCGGCGCGCTCGTCGGCAAGGGGTGGAGGAGGAGGAGAGAGGGGGAAGCGAACGACGGCGAGGGGAGAACGACCGAAAAATACTGAACACGATCGTCGCGCGGACGGGGTGATTTCTGTTGGGGAAGCGGGGCGGATCGGAAGCGGCAGGGGGGGACACAGCTTCTGCGCGCAGGGGGGGGGGGGGGGCGTGCCGGCGCACCCAAAGGCCGGAGAAGCGGAATTCGGAACTTTGCAGCACCAAACGATGTGCTAGCGAAAACAAGCAAATATCTGCTGTAATCGACGGTATGCTATACTGCTCTAATGCGCGGAGTCGAGTCTTGTCCTGCTTTACCTGGCAGATGCCGGTGACGCAGAGCCAGCGGCCGCCCGGGTCCGTCCGCTGCGGCCGGCAGGAGGTGCCGTCCACCACCGTCTGGTTCAGCGTCGCGTAGAAGCGGTAGCCCCGGGCGCGACAGTTGAGCTGACACGGGTCCGGCGCTGCAAGGGGAGATCAATTAAAAACTACCACCCCCGGCAAAAACTTTCAATTCACAAAAATAAATTGAAAAACACACAAAAGTTTTATTTTCAAAATCGATTTGTTTCTTACCACTTAAAAAAGGCTCCCACTCGTAGAAATGTCCGGAAAAGTTCTTCTTATTGTAAGCTTCGCACTGCTGCGCCCTGAAGTCCCTGCCGCCGTTCGAACACTCCTAGAAAATAGATTAAAACAAAAATTACAACTAATATTAAAGGTCCGTTTGCCCCGAGGTTTGCCCCTTTTCAGGACGCCCATGAGGATAGAACTGGCCTGACCTGCTCGTTGCAGACGTGCACCCGCTTGTACTGGCCGACGCACTGCGTCGAGAAGACGCGCTGCTTCTTGTGCTTCTTCTTGTTGGGGCCCACGTCCGCGTCGTTTTTTGCGCGGTCGCTCCGTTTCCTGCGGAGGCAACAATAAAGAAACAACGACATTACGAGGAAAAAATCAGATCAATCAATGCTAAGTGTTTCGCGCTCGATAGGGGGTGCGCCAGCGCCGGCGCGCGCCTCAGAGGGTGCAAGGAATCGTTTCATAAATCACAATCTGTCTCTGTGTCTCTCTATCTCTCTTTGATAGGACGAGATTGTCGGGCGCGAGAGAGAAAGAGAGCGGGCCGGGCCCTCTCGTTATAGAGACCACTTGAAGCTCGCACGCGACTGCACTGAGCCCCCGGACGTACGTTACGCCCCTCCTCGTATTTTTTTTTTCGTGGAATCACCACCGCGAGGATAGGATGGACCGCGCGGAGAGGCTTTCGGTCAAGAGGCCCTTCTGGACAAAGCAAGTGGGGGGGCTTTCAGTGTTCTGGCCCGCGAAGGGGAGGGGGCAAGTACAGCGTACCGAGATGCACTGTTCCCTAATGGCGGACATCATATCTTGTCTAATGGGCTTATTCCATTAGACATGAGGAGAAGGAGGAAGGGGGACCGGACTAAACTTGGCAAGGCCCACGCGATGAGAATTTTTCACACATTTTTAGCAAAAAAATTAGCAAATTATTAGCAGATGATACATTTGTAACTGAAACTTTGAACATTTCACACGCAATTGAAATTAATAAGAATGATTTGTCAAATGTGCTATTGCTTGTAATGTCATAAAGCGGCGTGCAGAGAGGCACAAGGCGTGACGTCACCATTTGACGCACGGTTTCTTTTCCAAAAAGAAGCAACTGAAAAGGAAAATTGCGACATGAATTTTTTGAAGACGGTTTAGTGTTTTGGGGGTAAATATACTAAATTTCATAGAAAGTTGAGGTTTTGATTCGACATTCCGCAACATTCCACGGTCTTTCTGGCGAAAACTTATACTTTTATATGTCCAGTAACTGGCGGCACCCGAATCTCGTCCGCGTTTTTCCGCCAACTCGAGATAATAATAGTTAAAGTCATCAAATACACAAAAACTGACCAAAATGTTGACCTGCGACACATGTCCTACTTTTCCTTTTCAGTTGCTTCTTTTGGGAAAAGAAACCCATTGTTGATGTTTCTGTTAGTTTACATTAACATATAGAAAGTGAAAAATGAACAAGTTGACAGTGCCGCACTGATAAACTAAGTGTTCAACTGCTCAGGACTTCTAAGTGTGCAACTGTAAGTTAAATACTTGCAAGTGTGCAACTGCAAGTTAAATACTTGCAAGTGTGCAACTCGGTAGGTGTGCGCTTGCAAGTGTGCAACTCCTCGGTTGAACACTTCCTACACAGTAAGCGTCCAATCTGAGGAAGTGAGAACCGAAGAGTTTAACACTTGCAAGTGTACGACTACGAAGTTGCACACTTACAAGTGTTGAGCAGTTGAACACTTTAGTTTATCAGTGCGATGTTTTTACCCCGTTTCTCGCCTTTCGATGCCTGTACTGGTCAAACGCGGCGGGTTGAGTCAAATCTAAAATTCCCTGTCATACTTTAACCCTTTCCAAATAAGAATCCACCATCCGTAACTTTTGAATATGACATTGAAAAATCTGATTTATGAGCACCAAAAGGGGGGCAATCGCCCACTGTGCATGTTGTTGGGAGTTGGTCCCATAATATAGATATGCTTGTTAGGAATACGAAACTGAGTTCGGGAAGCTCGTTGTGTGCAATACTGCACTGACGTGCATGTTTGATGGCTTTTTAATTGTCTCACACATGGCAAACTCGTGCTGCTAAACGTTTAAAAAGATAAAGACGCTCTACCGCCAAAACAGGCTGTTAAACGCCGCAGCGAGGGGTCACGACACCTTTCATATAAAACGGACAGCAAGGGCTGAGTACGGCACACCAGTCGGTGCTGCACATTCGACAACATGGCCCGCTTCCTCTGCTTCGCTGTCGCTGTTGCTTTTGCGGTAACAACAATAACCGAAAAACAAATAATAGTAGGTAATCCGCTGTAAATTTGACATTGTTTGAATTTACAACAGGTGGTGGCCGCTCTGGCAGACCCGAGCCTCCACCTAACTGGCGCTCTTTTAGAGCACCACCTCCAGGCCACACAGGGACACGGACCCCACGGACAGGCTCCCCAGGAACACCACACCCTCGCAGGCGCTGTTCTGAAGCACCATCTTGCTGGCGCTGTTCAGAAGCACCACAAGCAGGCCGCTGGTCCCCATGGACAGGCTCCCCAGGAACACCACAACCTCGCTGGAGCTCTTGTAAAGCACCACCTCCAGGCCGCCGGTCACAGTGTGCACCAACGCGATGCCCCTGAGGCCAAGCCCGTCGAGAGCGAGAAGAGCCCCAAGGGCAAGCCCCAGAAGAAGCACCTGAAGAAGCACCTGAAGAAGCACCACGCCAAGCTGGCCAAGAAGGGGCCTGCGACTCACTCTACCGGCGCCGTCGTTCCAAAAGCAGCGCAGGCGTATTATCATCTTCTTTAACTGCCATATCTAACTGGCTGTCTTGTCTTGGCAGTAATAAAATCGCTATGAAAGGCAAAAGCATGATCAGTTCTCTAGACCCATTCTCTAGATTCATCCTAGGTCCTGAAAGTATTGTTCGTATAACTATTTTTAAAACTTCAACCTACCATTTTTATGACTTTTGCGGCACCGTGCCGTGCGTAGAGTTTGCAATCGGTCGGACACTACACTTACCAGAAAGTCTTCTGTCTCTCTCACTCATATCTGACGTGAGATGGGAGTTACAGAGACTGTCGGGTAAGCTCGCCGGGATAGTGTCCGACAAGAGTTCCTTTAGTGAGAGGTCAGACGGGACTTAGTTGCTGTGGCCCAAAGTGTCGTTCTCCTAGCGGAACCCGAAAAAAGGTATCGCCATCTTTTGATACGTTGTTCAAAGCACTTCACAACGCACAAATAGGAATATGTTGTGTGAACAGAAAAAAAAACAACCTGTCTTCATTCTTAAATTTTTACGAAAGTAATTCCGGTGAATCTAATTTTGTTTTTGTAAAAAGTATCTATTGGACTTGGCAAAGGCAGTGTGTAATGGGGTCTGCTCGGTATCGACGCGGGAACGGGAGGAAAACAGCCCTCCTGACGTGCGAAGACAACGGGGAGCGGAAGGAGGGG